CTAATAGATATAGTACTTCAACTCGTAGAATATATAAAATTTGGAAAAGACATGCTGAAGGCATACCCTTGCGCAAACAGCAACTAATATATAGTGTTGTTTCTTCTGAAATAATGTTTGAAAATAATACTTTGGATAGAAAGTCAAAGAAAAGAAATCTAGGATCCAGTTCTAGATCTGTTCGGATATCTGATTCAGTAAATATTCCAATAAAAAAAATAGTTGAAATGGATAATTTACAAGCTACGCTTGCACAAAATCACAAAGAAAGAGAAGAAGCTAAACGTGAGATAAAAAGAGTTTTAGATTCCAACTAATCTACTTTTGTTTTTTCTAGAGTAGTTTGTAGACCCAAAGAGCCATTGCTAGGCAATAATCTACATACCATTTTAATATCAGACTCATTTCTATAGTCCGTAGTTTTTTATTAAGCTTGATTAATTCGGTATTGGATTTGAGTACCTCATATAGCGATTTTCTAACTCCTCATAGCTCATACTTTTTTTTTTAAAGTTAAATCTAGGCTAAAACCCACAGGAGCATGCCATTCCTCCAATGGATCATTATTGCTCTCATTACTATCCACCTCTTGAGAAATTTGATCAGATACCAAAGGCTTATTGCAAAGCAATGGGACTTCATCCCTATTATTCTGAGATGTAGTAGCGCAATTTACTTCGAGATTATTTTTTACTTTGTGCATAGTAACTGGAATAATGTGATCCTTTTCATTAAAAGGAATTTTCAACTCATCTTTACCCCAATCTATAGCACATTTATATTTCTTGAGAAGTGGGTTTGGAAATATCGATGTTGATTTAGAGACACGTACAACTACAAAATCTTCATGTATAGTAAAACCTGAAGGAAATATTATTGAAAAATTACGAGCAATACCAATAGATTCTGTTGAAACTGTTGCAACCCCACTAAGATCATATTTTTTTGATTTATCAATTGGCCAATTTACACGTTTAACAATGTCTTTTGATGTAATTGGAGGTTCAGCTCCACTATCTAGTACCAATGCTAGAATTTTTAAGCGTTTGATTTTAACTGGTATAGTTGCAAGACTTGTGGTAAATTCCTTTCTTCGAACAAAATCTATCTTTATAGGATCATTCAATGTCTTCTTTTCACCATCTGATTCGGGTATTTTGGGGCCGGCTCTTGATAATTTATAAAGTCAGGTTTTGCAGGCCCTTTAGGGGCGACTCTTTGAGTCATAGATAAATTCAGATTATTAATATTGTTTTTAATTGTTCCTATAACCTCTAGATCATTAAACATAGCTAGAATAATTTTTCGAATTTGTGAGTCAATAATTGTATCTGATTTCTTTTGTGAAGTATATTTTTTTGGACTAGATTTCTTCTTAGAAGATAATTTAGGTACATAAGCATCCTTATTTTATGAGCAGATTTCTTTACTTTTTTTTTATCTTGCTAATATTAACATTCATACTTTCAACTTCAGATAAAGACTCCTCAGACTCGGATTTATTATCGGAGAAATTAGATTCAGAATTGCTACTAGAAGAATTATTAGTATCAGAATTGGAATCTATAGAAACCTTATTGACACTACCTTTCTTTCTCGATCGGCTTTTCTTTTTATTTCTCAGACATTTAGGAGAATTTGAACAATACCCAATCTTATTACACTTTGAACATCTGTGTTGTGTCTTCATAGCTTTTTTCATAGCTTTATTTATAACTGCATTTGTTGATAGCTCACTCATACAATTAGCTAGCTCTTCATCAGAGTCAACTTTACTCTTTTTTATTATTGGTTTTGGGAGTAAATCAGGCTTTGAAATAGGAATAAATTCTAGAACTTCCCCAGTGATCTATTGTAAAAATCTACCAATATTTGTATCTCGTATAGTCTGATACATTACTGGGGGTTGTGGTCTATAATAAGCTTTAAATAGCTATGTTGGTTGTATTTTCTGAGAAACTAATTGTGAAGAAACAGGTTGGGTTTGTGCGGATGTTGTCATAGATTTTATCAAGTTTCTAACTTCAGTTTTGGTCATACCTGAGTAATTATCCTTTCTATGAGCTTTTTTTGAATCTGAGTTTGAATACAGGTAAGCTCCAGATAATTGCTCAGCCTTATATCTTTCAATCTCTTCAAGTTCTGTGAGCAATTCAGAAACGGGCTTGTTAATTCCAATACGTCGAATTTCTAATTGATTATCGGGAGAGATACCGCGAAGAAATTGTAATCGAATTTGTTATTCATCAATGCTAGCAAGTCTAGCCAATTTACGCAATTTTGAATAGAAATGACCAACAGGATCACTACTCTGAATTGCTGATCCAAAGATCATTCGTTGTTTCTCTGCAGTAATAGTTGGATAGTTAGTCTTAAGCCAGTATATTGCCTGGTCAAGTCAGATTCTATCTGCTACTATAGTTTGTCTGGCATTAGCATTTGGCGCATTGGGTAATCGATCTGTTGAGTACCGATCAGCAAAAGACCAATCTTCATCAAATACTGTATGAGCAGGAATAACAATATTTTCAGCCTGGCCCACAGCACTATGTCTTAAATTTACACCAAGTTGTACTGCCATTTGTCCTTGAGCCAGAGCTAAAGTGGCCTGCCCAGTGTTATCCAGTAAATTTTTCAGTTCTCAATTCTTTCTTCGAAAAAACCTTTCATACCAATCTTTGGCATCGCCTTTAAGGCATGTTTCAAAAAGTCTATGTGCACGAACTCTATTGGCATGCCCACTAGCTACATCAATTCTGGTAGCCACAAGATATGAACAAAAAGAATCAATAAACATCTCTGGATCTTCATCAGAATATCCATGGTAAGTTGGGGGTGCATATCCTGCTATACCTCTTCTATTGTTATTTATAGGTGGGTTATTCTGTAGTGCAAAAATTTGTTGATTTAAATTATTAATTAATTGCTCAGAATTTCGTGCCCAAGTTTTTCACTTACCCCACTTGTTGTCCAGTTGAACATCGGCAAGTAATAGATTATTTTCTAGAGTCTTGCATTTATTTTTCCATTTCATGTATCAATTTTTGTAAGATTTAAGAGGTGCGTAGTAATTGCTTCATCTGTCTTATATTCTTGTAGTTGCTGTTGTGTTCGTTTATTCTTAAATCCCAATGCAAATTTTTTTAGAAGCAATTTTGATATTTGTCTTTTTTGTATATGGATTGTAATTCGACCATCAGTTCTCGAGATTTAAATATATTGTGTTGTGTTCTGTGGGCTTCATAAGCCGAATGAAGAAGATTATAGTCATTTTGAAGTGTAGCTAGTTGAGTTTGTGAATTTGTTAGCTAGGTTTGCAAATTTGCTAGCTGGGTTTGCAAATTTGCTACTCAGTTTTCTGCATGAATTGCATGAGCATTCGCTCGTGGATAAATTTTTAGAACTAATCTCTCAAACCTATTTTCTGCATCAGAAATTATATTAAGATAATTTACAATACCATTTATTGTAGATGCTATTGTAATTGGGCTTTGAAAATATAGTCTAATATTATTTATCTCTTGATCAATTCTATTTTTTTGAATTGTAGCTTGATTTTCAGATAGAGATAATCTGGGTGAACCTGGTTGTGCTATTTTTATAGTATTATTTATTTTTTCATCAAGGTTGTCAATCTTATTCTGAAAAGTTACTAACAGTTTTTCTAAATAGTTTATATAGTTTTCTTGGTTCACAGAATTTTGAAGCACTTTTTTTAACAGTTCCTTGAGATTAGAAATTTCTAGTCACAATGGATCTAGTTTATTATCTCAAACCAAAATTTCTTTTTTGAGATATTTAATATAATTCTCTGTTAAGCTTAGATCCTGTTGTAATTTAGAAAACTGATTTTTTATTATCTGCAAACTAGTTTCAAATTTTTTGATTGTTTTACTAAGTGAAGACACTACTGTATTTGATAGCATTGTACAAGCCTATAATATATCGACTCTTCTGGAAACTTTGTTAAATAATAATTTATTGATATAGTAAAATGTATTAAAAATGGACCAACCTAGTATTTTTATAGATTCTGATAAAGAAGTAAATCTTGTTTGCCGATTAATTTATTATAACCCCACCGGTTACCATTCCAAAGCTCACAAAAATATATAAAGCTATCAAGGATGAAGGCTACCATTTCTCATATAAAAAATTCGTGAGTGGTTAGAGTATCAACAACAGTACCAAATTTATAAGCCTCCTCCAAAACACATCACTAGAGCCAGCTATGGTCAGATATCACGTCCTAATTGTATATACCAGGCTGATATACTGTTTCTCACACATAACAAATATAAAGGAAAGACATACAAAGCAGTATTAAATATAGTAGATTGTGCGTCAAGATATAAGGCCTCGGTTTCTCTCATGTCAAAGAAAAGTTCAGAAGTTACTAAAGCATTTAAGAAAATATATAATAGCCATAATTACTTATTAATCTGGCCTCGATTATTACAAACAGATAATGGTCAGAAATAGATGAGTGAGACTAGTAGAATAATGGAGGAACATGGTGTAGTAATTCGAGTTATTGGTCCATATTCCCATCATGGTACAGCAATTGTGGAGAGATTTAATAAAACTCTAGCTAAAATGCTATATAAGATTCAATATAGCGTTGAAAGTATATCCTCAGATCCTAAATTAATAAGAGCATGGGTTAAACATTTATCCAAAGTAATAGATTATCTTAATAATTATTCTACATGCCTCATCTGAGCTCCAGGTTTTTCAAAGTGGGGTTTAGCTCTAGCAAAAGCTATCAAACTAGAACGAGTAGAATCCAGGCCATTTACAAAATATAAGCATCCAGTTGGAAAAAATGAGGAAAATAAGTTAAAGAAGGATGATACGGTTTGTTATTTATTAGCTAATGGAGAGTGGGAGGGAGATATGGAAACAATACATCACGCAACAGATCCTGTATTTTCACCTTCTATCTATAAAATTCACAAAATTATAGTAACAAAAATGAACCTATTTTATATTATCTCAGAGAGAATAATGATGAATATCCTCCAAAGCAGGGTTTGTACGTGAAGAGCTCATGCACATATATCTAGAAAAACTTCAGTATCCACCTCAGAGTATATTAGAAGAAAATTAATATTGAATCTCAAATGTTTAATTAATTAGCAATTTAACAATCGATTATCAGAATATATTCTAAAAATGCTAAATAGTCTATAGATACTGCTTATATGATTGCAACAGAATGTGAAGGTAAGTGCTTTTCAACTAGTTATAAAAATATAAATTTGCCTCTCCTCTGGTCTTGTAAATTTAATCATCAATGGTATGCCCCCTTAATCATATCAAAAATCAAGGATCGTGGTGCCCAACATGCCGTGGATATGATAATACTATTACAGATATGCAAAAACTCGTACAAGATAAAAATGGTCATTGTCTTTCAGATACATATCATGGTGTACATATAAAAATTCTATAGGAATGCGAATAAAAACATCAATGGATAGCTATACCTAGAGATATTTGTAGAGAACATTGGTGTCTATACTGTTCGGGTCGCTATTCATGTAGTCTTGAACTTGCAAAAGAAATTGCATTTGTTAAAAGCGGGCAATGTCTTTTATCTTCATATAAAAATATAGATTCACCTCTTCTTTGGTCTTGTAAATTTAATCATCAATAGTATGCTCCTCTTTATCGCATTAAAAATCTAGGTACTTGGTGCCCAACATGTCATGGTTGTTTTAAAACAATTGATAATGCACGTAAATATGCTATAGATAAAGAAGGAAAATGCTTATCAAAAAGTTTTAAAAACATAACAACAAACCTTCTTTGGCAATATAAAAAAAATCATATTTGCTTTTGCTAATGTGAAAAATAATAGGACATGGTGTCTATTCTGTTGTGAATGTTATCGAACAATCAAGGATATGTATACTTTAGCACAAAAAAAAGAAGAAAGATGCTTATCAAGCAAATTTATAATATGTCTACGAAACTGTCTTGGTGCTGTAAAAAGAATCATCGATAGGTAACTACTTCTAGTAGTATCAAACAAGAAAGTTGGTGCCCATATTGTAAAAAATTTATGTACAAAAAAAAGTGTCATGAAATTCTAATAAAATATCTCGGACCTCCATCAAAAAATCATAGACCAGAATTCTTAAAAATTCATAAATATCCATGTGGATTAGAGCTTGATATTCCTTACTATAATTATGGTCTAGCTATCGAAGTTCAAGGAGTCCAATATAAGCGTTTCCACCTATTCTTTCATAAAAAAACAAGAGGATTTCGAAAAACAGAAGAAGCGGGATCAACTGAAAAAAGAATTATATAAAGAAAATGATATATATCTCTTTTATGTATGTATGATGATGAAGATCTATAAAAGACTATTTGAGATGAACTATGGGCACTAGAACTTATTGATTAATCTTCTGAATCTTAATATTAATATATCAAATATTTAATAGTGATTTTATTTCAAATTTGTAGGATTGGTATTCTAACAAAGTATCCTCCGATTAACATATCAATAAATATTTTTTGCGATATACAGTATGCTTATTCCTATGACATTCTATAACTGACCAAATTCTGAAGCATCTCAGGCTCAAATTTATGCAGAGAAGCGAGATGGTGCTTGTATTATGAAAACTGGGCAAATAAACAGAGTAAATGTATACTTCTGGTCAAGTGCAAATGGACTTCATCAATGGAAAGCACCTTATAAGACCCAGAAGCGTAAATTTGAATAGTGCCCCTATGTCCTCATTTTAAAGAGAAGCGATCTATAATATATATTTTCGAAGATCTGCTAGGTAAGAAATTTCCACCATGCAGGGCTAAGTTCTTAGATGGAATGCAATTAGATGGGTATAACGAAGAGCTAAAATTAGCATTCGAATTCCAGGGCATCCAACATTTTAATGTTGTTCCAAAACACTTTCACCCCAATGGCAAGACTAACCTAGATTTACAAAGATCACGCGACCAAAAAAAGTGGAATATATGCAAGAAGCAAGATATAGATCTCATTGAAATCCCTTACTCTGCTGATTTATTGCTATATTTAAAAAGCAAATTACAAGAGAGGGATTATTTATCACACAAAGAATAAACTCATAAGATCATTATTTTTCGATATAGATACTTTATATCTGCAAAGCAATAATTAGTGACTTAGCTTGATTGATATGAAAATAGAAAAGCTTAATCTGTGTAAAATATTCGTACTTAATATCGATGAGTACAAAAATCCGAAAAGATTCAATAGTCTTAACTCATGTCCTCAGTGGCTTTTTAATTTACTAGTCAGTGGGCGAACTAGATCTAGAAAAACAAATATGATTATTAGTCTCTTACTTGAAGATAAGATGTTTCGAATGTTTAGCAGAAAAAAAGGTGGAATGAGATATATTAAGAATGATAATTTGGTTTTGATTGGATATCATCTTAAGAAACCGAAATATAGACATTTGCATGATTGTTACTGAATAATTTCAAATAGCCCAAAGCTATATATGAAGATATTATATTCCGAGCGTTGAAACCCGACAAAATGCCAAAAGTTGATGACTTCTCTCCTGAAAGAGGAACAGTTGCTATATTCGAAGATGTATGTACCAAATCTAAAAAAATACAAGAAAAAATTGCTCGTTACTTTACTGAAGGGCATCATAAAAATATTAGTAATATATATACTACACAATCCTTCTTTGACTGTCCAAAACTAATAAGAAAAAATCTCGATTATATTGTTCTCTTCAATGGTAGTGGTACCTATGATGAGCTAGTTAACATTGC